ATCCTTGTCCCATACTCTTTAGGTTCGACAGCTACATAACAGCTGAACGATTTAAGATGGCCGAAGATCTTCTGGCTACTGCCACTAAATTCAAGACTATTAAAGTAGTCTCGGATAAAACACCAAACCAAAGGCAAGCAACCAAGAACTCCTTCGACACAAAGTTGACAACACTGAGAAATACATCTGGTATCAGTGCTAAAGTGTCGGCGGACACTGAAGCACAGCAAGTCACGTGTATAGTGTTAGGAGAAAAAACGGCAAGTAAAAGCGACCCAAAACTCAGTAAGAGCAGTGCCACTGGATGCAGTATTAGAGTGCACGAGAGCACATCTCGAAAACCTGCTGACCTACATGAGGTCGACATAGACGCACAAACTATGGCTGACCAGAAACTACTGGCAGACCACACTCAATCCGGATCCAAGCCAGAGAGTCCCTCAGTAGAAACCGCAAAAAAGACCACAAAACCCAGAGTCCCACCCCAGACTTCGACATACCTCCCTCGTAATAAGTCTAATAAGCAGCGTGTCAGTCTAAAAATGACAAAGCATGGGTAACGAAGCACACTCCCAAAGACGTCACGCAGCACGTGAGAAGGAATACCCCTTCCCGAACTAGAAGTAACATGCATAACAACGCACATAGTTTACAGTTTACAATTTATTTAGGATAGTAGGCTATATGCCTGTGTTAATCCTTTCGATTTATTGCACACAGGAGGTCCAATCCCGCCTTGAATAAATCAACGGATGGCGCTGATACGACGTGTTCCGGTAGGGAGTTCCAATGGTTCACAATTCGATGCGAAAAACGGATCTCCAGGCGCAGACGATTCGACCGTGGTTTTTGAACCTTGAGGTGATGTCCTCGCAATTGGTTGGTGCTAGAAGGAAGAAATAATTTAGATAAATTAGCTCCAAAATCATTCCTTAGGATACGGTATGCTAGTATTAGGTCACCCCTAAGTCGTCTGTATGACAGTGGAAATAAACCCAGTCGACTTAACCTCTCCTCATATGACAGGGTTGAGAAACCCTTTATTAGCTTAGTTCCTACTCTTTGCACCCTTTCTAATAAGTCTATTTCGTATTTGAAACACGGGCTCGCTGCCTGGATCCCATATTCCAAATGAGGTCTGATATAAGTCGGATATAATATACGAAATATATCAGCGTCAAAGTTCGCAAAAGCCTTGCGTATGGCCCATAACATTCGAAAACCCTTAGTGGCTGCAGTTCTACAGTTTGTTGCTGTTTTCAAGTCATGCTGCACAATCACTCCCAAGTCCTTGTACTCAGTGACCACTGGGAGAGTAATGCCATTCATTGAGTAATTGTGCACGTGACTATGGGATACATGCATAACTACACTCTTGCTTAAGTTAATCTCCAAGGCCCAGTGCTTACACCAATCACTTAACAAGTTTAAATCTTCCTGCAAAGCAAGTTGATCACTGTCATCGTGCAAAGCCCTCCATATCTTGATGTCATCAGCAAACAGTAAGCAGGATGACTTAACTACCGATGGAATCTCATTAACATAAATCAGGAAAAGAAGTGGGCCTAGAATTGTACCCTGAGGAACGCCACTCTTAACCGATTCCCATAACTTGGGAATGCAACGTAGAATGGATCCTCGGGATATATGGGGCACTAAACGGGACTCATATAGGCACCATATTAACGAAAATTCTCGTTCAGACTCTCGCACTATCTATGTTAAACCTCATCAGTATAATGAGAACAGGTCGACACTTGATCCCCTCAATAACTTCACTCACACACGTGACGTGAGCCAATATGCATACGGCTATGAAAGCCCCATGAGGTACAACTACCAGGGTAATCTTAACACAGGGTACCTAGATCCATCAAACTACAACCCAAATTGCAGGGCAGACCATATATCACCAGTAGATCAACGCAGATGCCGACCCATGGATGCTGATAGTCAAAATATGCAACAGGATTATTTTCGGCTGCAGCAAACAATAGCCCCACTCGCTGCACAGTCCATCCAGGAAATAGTACACACACTGACTCTGTCTCACCTCAGAGCCCCTCCAAACATAACATAGGGATAGTAACAAGTAACCGTGTTAACCTCTCCTCCAATAACTCTGGTTTACTAACAATTATGCTCGTGGATGCTAGATCTCTCCTTAATAAAATAACAACGCTTCGCTGCCTGGCATACATAGAACGGCCAACACTAATAATGGTGACTGAAACCTGGCTTACTACTGATATACCTGACACAAAGCTAGTAATAGACAACTACGACATCTATAGGAACGATAGAGTTGACAAAAGAGGAGGCGGTTGCTTAATATATGCCTATAAATCCACTAACTCCAACACTTTAAATAACCCAAATACTGACAAGCTCCCAGAATCTAAGTGGATAAGCATCCACACAAACGAAAGTAAAATTCTTGTGGGATGTATATACAGACCCCCAATAGCCCTGAAATGACTGATATAACTATTGCAGAAATACTAGAGCATGTAGCCACGCTGGACTTTGACTACAAAGTAGTATGTGGAGATTTCAACTTACCTGGAGTAAACTGGGATACCTGTACAGGACCAAGAATCCATGAAGAGCTACTGCAAGCTATAGACATAGGAGGATGGAAGCAGTGCGTACGCCCCCCCTACAAGGAACCAAAATACTCTTGACTTAATCCTCTGTCATAACATAGAACCCATCTCAATAGAGGCGGGAAATAAACTCGATAACAGTGATCACAACATATTGTACTGCACGCTAACCCTCCGACTAACAACTAAATACACACCTAAAAATTCCCCGGTGCGCTATCAATATAGGGACTATAAGAATGCTGATCGGGAATTCCTATCAGATCTGTTGAGAAGTTCTGTAAAAGATGACACTCTGTATCGCGGTACGTTCAACGTTTGCGTTACATTTTTACGTGATTCGTTACATAAAATTTATCTTGTTGTAGTACTTGCACAAGTACTATACCACTTCCATACTTGTAACCACTAACTCTTATTTCTAATAGTTATGGTTAATCAAAGTAAAAAGCAGCGAACCCAATCCCCTGTAAAACTGGTGTCTAATTTAACGTCCTTGATTGCTACATCAAGCAACACACCCCCAACAAACGGCTATAGTGAGTCACATAACTCACGTGTATGCCGTAAGCGTCGAGCTGAAACTGAGGATAAAACTGTACTGACAGCCAGTATTAGCACTACTCCTAAAAATTCGGTACCCTCTGCTCATACAGAACTCCTCCCTTCACCTTATGTGCTTATGGAGAAACTCCAGCCATCAAGCTCTTTTTCAGTACTATCTTCAGAAATAGAACTTCTAAAGTTGTCTATAGGAGAACTTAAGGCTGAGTTAAGGGAAATAAAAAACAGCAAGTCAGTAAATGCTGGAAACATCGAAACCAATACCGAGATATCCAAATTATCAGATCAGATCAGCGATATCAGATCGCAGGTCTGTGAACTGACACCTCTAACTATCCTCATGAAAACGGTAAACCTTAACAAGCTTGACACAGAATCGGTAACTAAGGTAGATAACCTCATTAACTTTGTTACCACAGAAGTAACAAAACGACTCGACGCAAAACTGAGTGCTATTGTCTACAACGTTCCGGACAATGAGGCACTAAAAAAGGTACAGCGCATCTTACTTAGTGAAGCGAAAATGCCTAACTCCAAGACTAAGTGCTACAGGCTGAAGAAGAGTCAACATGAAAAGTGTTGTCCTATTCGTTTTCAGTTCGAAACACCGGCAGAGACCAGAAAATTCATTCACTCCCAACACACCCTATCGCAAGCCAGAAACTACAAACATATAAAGGTCGGGGTGGACAAAACAGTTATAGAAAGGCGCGCACACAACTATCTCACTAAGACTAATTGTGAAATAGGTAATAGGACATTGCAGCAAGCCATTATTCCCAACCCTGTGAAAGATACAGTAGACCCCACCGCATCACCCCTCTCAAAACACACAGAAATGTCCCATCAGAGTGCAACACCAGCCGAAAGGCCACTAGACTGTAACCAAATAAATAATAAAACCATACCACCCATCACCGCAGAATCTAAAATGCCACTAAATAACCCCAGAAAAAAAGTTAAAACCCCCCGAAATTCGACTTTGTCCTCTCCTAGCTATAATTCCATTGGTAAAGATAAGGAAAATATGCCCCTAAATCATACCAACAAAAACAGTGGCAGCTTAAATAAGCCCACACTCCCCACGGTTAATAGTATTAGCACTCACAACGTGCTAAATCGCACCGTGGCACACACTAATATCCAATGTCACAACGATGTCACCCTAAATAGTACAAGTGGTAATAGTCAGAACTCGGCTACCAACAACTCAGGGTCTTCAGAGTATGGCACACAAACAAATTTCGACCGGATATATGGTACAAGTCTGCTGGGAACTAACCCAAAATGCAGTACACACGAAACCCACACAAGGACACAACTAGCATCAAACAATAGGTGGAATAATAAGCCATGGTCATCACAAGGATCCAATCATTTTTTATCCCCCGCGTCCCTGTCAGCGTTGAAAAAACAGCTGGTAGGGATGTTAACACTCCTAAACCACTAGTGCTGGCTCCCTCCTTGCATGAAAACAGGAACGGTCTAGTGCACCCGTATCCATTGGACACACTTGACACTTGCACAAGTATAGGCCAAATAAAGAACCCTACCCACTTCTGTAACCTAACTAAAAATAAAAGTTCCTTAGTCTATAGCAAATCCAGTACTCCAACTCCTAATTCTCCACCGAAAACAGCACACAACAACTCGATAGACATAGGTGAGCATGATGCTGGAACTCCTCTTAACATAGGATCGTCATGTCCAGCAGAACTACTGGGTGCTGAACCATATTCGGGGCTGACTAACGAACTTAAATACTTCAAATGCTACTTCAACTCTCATCTTTACGTAATCCTCATAAATGCTAGATCTGTTCTAAATAAATTGCCGATGCTCAGAGCACTCACAGTAATATACAAACCCCCTGTAATTGTCATCACTGAATCTTGGTGTCATTCGGACATCCTGGATGAAGAAATAAGCTTAGATAACTACACACACTTTCGGTGTGACAGGGAAGGTGGTAAGGGAGGGGGTTGTCTCATGTACTTTTTGAATGAACTTACTGTATCACAGCTAGAAAGTAGTACACTTAACATGCCTGAGACTCTATGGGTTAATGTACACTTAAATAACGTAACAGCATTAATTGGATGCACCTACAGAGCACCTGGCACCTTTAGTAATTACGAGACCCAACTCATTAATACTCTGGAGCAATTAACCGACTTACAATACGATCATAAGATCCTATGTGGGGACTTTAACTTACCTGAAATCAACTGGGATATACCCACAGGTCCAACTAAATTTGATAAGTTCTTAGACACACTGGATATACTTGGCTGGAAACAAACTGTCACTACTCCCACAAGAGGTAACAACGTACTAGACTTAATCTTCTGCCACAATATAAGCCCCCTTTCAACGCTAGTAGGTTCTGAGTTCCCAGGGAGCGACCACAAAACAGTAATGTGTGCACTGCCAATTCCGCTGAGTAGCAATGCATCTCATACCTCCACTTCACAACAAGTAATATATAGGAACTATAGTAAGGCAAACTGGGCCTTAGTTGAATCGATGCTAAGATCCTCCAAATGGGATGAATACTTCACTACTGATGACCTATCGAGAGCCCTAACCATCTTCTACCATAACTCAAACATATGCTTAGATGCTGTCATTCCACTCCAAACACTAAAGGTTTCCCCACACAGAAAGTCATTCATAAAACCAAAGGATCGTAAGAAACTGAAGAAACTCTCAACAAGTTACTTCAAACACCACGACTTTGGCACTCTAGGTCTAATACTTAAAACCCTTAGCTCCATCACACAAGCTCAAGATTTCCGTATGAGAAAGGAAGAACGCATCGCAGTAGCCAGTCCTGCTAGAGTGTATGCACTCACAGAAATCTTAAGGAAGCGAATGAATCGCAAAAATCACAGCATTTCTCTCCTCATAGACAAAGGCAGGCTATGCACTAACTCTGCAGACATATGTGAACTATTCAACAAAACGTTTGCAGGTAACTACCTTAAGCCCTCAGTCCAGCTACTCGATATACACCCTATTACTAAAATGGCACCAACTCCACTGACACCAAACCAAATTAGCACTGTTCAATTCACTTACGCTGACATTAACCAAACTATAAGAACCCTCAAAAGTTCAAAAGGTTTCGGTACCGACGGTATATCATCTTACTTCTATAAATATGGTGGCCCTGACATTCCTCTACTACTGCTTAAAATATTCACAATGTCCCTAGAAACCCAAACTTACCCTGACATATGGAAGACAACATTCATTATGCCTAAACACAAATCTGGCTCGAAAACTGAAGTCAGTAACTACCGGCCAATCAATATCACACCTATAGCATCTAGAATCATGGAGAGACTAGTCAAAGATAACTTAATCAAACATATGCTTAGCTGCAACATCATAAGTCCGAACCAACATGGATTCCTGAAATCCAGATCATGTTTAACATGTCACCTAGACTTCTTCAATTTTGTAACCAGCAGTCGTGACAGACGGCAACTAGTACTTGTCATCTACTTTGACATTTCTAAGGCATTTGACCGTGTTGACCATTTACTGCTAACAAATAAACTGAACTCCTTAGGAATACGTGACCCATTATTAGGATGGCTTAAATCATTCCTTAACAATAGGTCCCAAATAGTTAAACTCGGGTCTGCAACCTCCAAACCTAGCCCTATCACTTCTGGTGTAGTACAAGGTAGTGTCATTGGACCCCTCCTATTTACACTATACATCAATGACATATGCGCTTGCTTCACGCACGGGAAACCATTCATCTTTGCAGATGACCTAAAAGTAGCTTATACATTCCAACGTGATGACTTAGGGAACTTCGAGAATGTAGTACAGAAGGAATTAGATAAAATGGCTGCTTGGTCGTCCCTATGGAATCTCCAATTTAATCTGAACAAATGTGGCTGGATCTGCTTCGGTGCACCCTCAATTGACCTGAAATTAACGCTCCAATCTGCTAACCTAACAAGACTCCGAAGTGTCGTTGACCTAGGCCTGAGGTACTCTAGTGACTTGACATTCTCAGAGCAAGTAGCATCACAGACTAGAAAATCGAGGATGCTCTTAGGATGCATACTCAGGAACTTTCACGACAATGAAGCCAAGCTAATTCTGTACAAAACATGTGTCAGACCACTACTAGAATACTGTCCATTTATTATAAGCAGCACTCGCACACGTGACAAGCTAAGGATGGAAAGTATCCAACGATATTTTACCTCAAAACTGCTTGGCTACGATTGTAAGAAAGACTACATCTCACGGTGCATGATCCTAAAACTCGACCCACTTTGGACAAGGCGACTTATTATAAACCTAATATTCTTCTTTAAGGTCCTTCACAAAATATCTTTCTCAGGTAACAGGGACATACAATTCGCACAGGAAGGTTCTTACGATCTGCGTAACCAAACTTCCACAGTGACAACTCATTCTTTTAAGTCAACACTCCGTGAAAACTTCTTCACAGTCATGTATTCTAAAATATGGAATAGCCTACCCCTAGATATCAGAACTTGCTCTTCGGTTACAAGCTTCAAACGCTCTCTATACAGACTGTTTCACTCTACAGATTATATTAATAAACTATTTACTCCTAGAACGAATCAAGCACTAATCTACTACAGCACCTAAAAGACGCACTTCAACACCCTTAGCAATCTTTAAACTATAAATAAACTAGCAGCATGGATGCATAAAGACATAGTACGGAACATACAGGATTAGTTTACCCTTAGAAATAGGACCTATCCCTCATTGTAACCTTCAAACGCTTGCTATATAAACTGTTTTGTCCAAATGACTATCCCTACCAGAACCCATCACTTATTTCTAAAACGCATCAGTCATTAGAACACTAAAACGCTCAGACTCATTAATACACATTATGACATTAAATAAACTCTAAGACTTCGCATAAATACGTGAAAACCAAATACAATATAGAAAAATGTTTACTTAAGTATAATTAAGATAAACATTTATAAATGAATCATATATTAATGTCCTTTTCATGTTCACATACTTTCTCTTTCTGGTATTTTGCTGCTCCTATTCATCTTCTGGTCGAGGTCGAACAACCCTGCATCTAAACTGAAATGAGGATTAATTCCAAACCGTCTATCTCATAACCACTCAAATTCCATGAACGATCCAATTCTACCATTTGAAGACGCTGGCGAACATGCTGTAAATGAGTATTCATGATCTGAAATGAAGAAGCAACTGGTTTTCAAACAGTTTTCAACATTTTACTCAACTTACGAATACAGTCCGCCATGCAGACACAAATGGAGCAAATGGAGAATTCTGGAATCGACCTCGGCACCATTTGATGCAGTAAAACAACCCAACATGACCTTATCTAGTTTTCGTATCCACGATCAAATTTCTTTCCTGTTATAAAACTACGATAAGACTACTGAAAAAATGGAATAAATATATCACTGATCTCAACATAATACATCAATAAACTTTAAGCCAAGGGTGCTGTTCACAACAAAGTTATATAGGAGAATTGACTTCAAGCTTTATTTTTCCCAGATATTTGTATTACATTCATCTGATGTCTGGGTTTTTTGTTAATGCGAAGACAATATTTCTATATCTCTTTATGTGCTACACAAACAAACTTTATAGCAGACTGTTCCGACTGACTTTGATGTTAGAAAGAACAACCAAACTGTTCCTGCAGCAGTAATAGGTACTGCACAAATGCTGATAGGGAAATTTGAGACCGAGCACAAGTTTCCGCCAATCTGCAAAGAAATTTATCGAATGACAGTCGTTGAAATGTACGCAAAGCTTACTCGGCATGCCAAAAATCACTGGATGAACCATGTATTTAATCGTCCTGTCACACAAGCAATAAGTAAATGCTCAAGAACAATACCAAACAATAATTTTCATATAAATTCAACCAACAAGAGCAAAATAAGCACCGAAATCACGTCTACTGCGTTTGCCGGACGACTAGCTTCAGCTCGAATCAACGAAACCGCGCAATTGCCGTCAAGGTTAAGCGAGAGGCGCCACTTCAAATAGGGGATATGCCTTATCAACGCCCGAATATACGTGTACGCAAGTTTAGTCAAATAACGCACGCAACAAATTGGTAAGCCCGACGACAAATTGGCGAGCCCGTAAACAAATTGGTGACCTCGACGACAACTTGTTCACCACGACACATTATTACTCTTGCTGGATTATTCTTACCCTAACTTTATCGGATCTATATATATCCATATAATAGACATTTCGAACTCATTCTTGTGCTTTCTCATCACACAACTTGCAGTAATCTGTGGTAAGCATCTGCATTGCATGTTTTTCTGTTTTTCCATATTCTTAGTGTGCATAATTTTTCTATTTTGTTACTCTTAAACCATTTTTCTACGAATTGTAACGTGTCTTCTGATACCGCTAATAACTTAGAGTTGGGATCTGTTAGTACTATCTCTCTTACTGTACCAGTTTTTAAGCCCAGAGACCCCCATCTTTGGTTTGCACGACTGGAACATTATTTCACTGCCAATAAGCTCGCGTCACAGATGGCTGAATTCGGCATTTTGAGTACAGTACTACCAGACGAAATCGCCGAGCAGGTACGACAACACATAGTTCAACCCAGCACAGACGCTCCTTACGACAAGTTGAAGGAAGAGGTACTTTGATGCACTTCGCTTTCAGATAGGCAAGCACTCGATCGTTTGTTAAACAATGTAGAGCTAGGTGATAAAACCCCATCGCAACTCATAAGGCATATGCAAAGCCTAGTAGCAGGAAGGGAAATCAATAACCGTCTCTTTTACCAAATCTGGCTCCGATGACTTCCTGCAAACATTCAGCAAGTTCTTGCAACGACATTGACATAGAAAAACACGCCGAAATCATGGATCGCATGTATGATAGGTCAACACCTCAATCTGTTGCTTCCACTAGCAGAATACCAGACACTCACGACAGGATACAGACTCTAGAACACAAAGTCGACACCTTACTGAGTCAGTTAGCAGCACTGACCGCACACACACGACCAAGCCGTTCTAGAAGCTCGTCTCGTCGACGTCTTTCTCGGTCACGTAGCACGTCACGACAATATAGTGAAAGTCGCCCGCGTCTGCGACATAGCATATATATATTTCATAATGAAGCATTTGAGACTTCAGATCGTTCCTTTAGTTACGTCTGAACAAAAAACACAGGACGTTAAAGAGGTATAATAGTTTTTAGGCTTATTCCCTATACATTTATTTGCATCTCAACATTTTTAATTGATCATCTTATATTGTTAATGCATTTTTTATTAACTCACTTGAGAAATATCTATAAGATTCAGAAACGTGCAAACATTAATATGTACATTGCAAGATTTGATCTTGTGTTATTTCCAATTATTGATTGATGCGCGCTCCTTGAATAAGACGTGCTTTTTCCTCTCTAACCGGAAATATCCAATTTTGTGAATTATTCGTTTGGGAAACCTGATCTTCCTATCCGGCGAATTTTTATTCAACCATTTCTTCCTCACCGAGCCTGTGTGTGGTACTTCCCGCTGTCTCGAACTACTGCCAAAGCTTCAGGTGCTACTTCTGTAGCAACACCCTCCTCACTCTTTCAAATATACAGGACTTGTGGGTCTGTTACGTGATTGCTGTGAAACCGAATAACCCGAAAGTTACAGGTAAAGTCTAAAGCTTTTACTTAAATACTTTATCCTTCTTTTCTGTGCTCTCTATTGTCTTTTGCTGTAAGTCTATTGGACAAAATAACAGTCTCTTATTATTTAATCACCAGTATTAATTTAGGAGTAAAATGACAATAGATTCTCAACCTAAAATAAGTAATGGGACATCATACTCTGTAGTTACCAGGGCTTCAGCCAAACTAGGCAAACAGGAGAAGGTGATGGACTCACGCATACCGGTCCTGAAGACCAGGGCTAATATTCCCAGCTCGTACAGATTACCCATGTCGCCACAGTCCTACAGTGAAGCTGTGCAAAGTCAGCCAAGTGGATGTGGCTCCACCCCTGTTAACACGACTAGGTTAACAGATCCGAGTGGGAAAATTGCACTAAGTGAGAACTTCATAACACCCATCCCCATGGTAGACCATGAAACAAATAGGAAGGCCAAAAAGAAACGTTCACGACGTCGCAAGACGACAAGAACGCTCCCCAAGAAGACAGACGACTGCAAGGTCTGTGCTTCTGTTGTCGAACAAGCAGACTCTGCTTTCGAATGTAACTTTTGCAACCGATGGGTGCATTGCAGATGCGACAGTGGGGTACCAAAAGCATATTATGACTTTATGCGTAAAAACCCATGCCAATGGTTCTGGTACATATGCCCGAGTTGCCGTCCTGATGTAGCCTCGCGTAGTCCTTTGAAAACTAAAGATGGCACAGAAGTAGCGGGGAAAAAGGTGAAAAGCTCGACCCCCACCAATCCGGAAGTTAGTACAAACGCGCGTAAACCGGGGATACCAAAATCCTCACCGGTTAAACTTGTAACTCTTGCCATAACCGCTCCAGACACAGAGGCTGGAGAACCACGGGTTTCCGTCGTTGGAAAAAGACCCCAACCGTCTATCAGTAATGCTGGCTATAGCACTGAGACACATAAAAATACCCAGTCGCACCAGTCAAACCAAAACGGTCTTAAAGGTGATCACAAACGTGCGAGGACCGAGCCCAAGCCCACGGTTAGCAGATCAAATTGTGTAATCCTCTTTAATGTACCAGACTGTAGCAGTAGTCTGCTGAAAGATAGGGCCCTATTTGATCAGGAACAGTGGTCCATCTTGAGTAGCACACTGGGTTTGGACATCCAACCAGTAAATCTATGCAGATTGTATAGGGGCACTGCTGCACCTGAAGGCAAACCATCCCCACTGAGGGTAACATTGGGCTCTACCGAGGATGTTGAAAAAGTGTTACTGGCTTCTCAAGTCCTTTCTATAGGGAGGGCCTGTAACATACGTGTTAAGCCAGACAGGCCGTGGAAGGAAAGACAAATGGCGAGGGAGTCGCCAGAGCTCATTCCTTCTGCCTCCATGGTTGTGCATGGCATTCCCGAACTGGTAACTGGGAACGCCTGCGAAAAGCATTGTCATGATGTACAACAATGGAGATGGTTAGCATCCCAGATGGCCCTGGGAAGTTCAGGGGCTGTCTCTATTTATAGACTGCCTCGACCCACTCATCTTATGTCAATTAACTCGCCACGTCTGTTAGCTGTCAAGTTCAGCTCCCAAGACCAGTTGAATACCGCTCTCCATAGATGGTACGAGACCAAGGACAAGGTCAGCAAACACATTCGCTGCTGCGAGAGCCGGCCTCGCACTCAAAGGAGAGAACAAAGCGTAGTAAAAAAAATCCTCAACCCCTAGTCACACTACAGCGGTGCAGCACGGACGATGATAGCCAGTGTCATCCGAGTGCTCCAACTGAACTAGAAGAAAAAAACGCCAACAGGCCGGTTCCTGGGGAATCGGCCAACTAGTTCGTAGGATAACTCCTCAACCGATAGCCAATATCAAGTCAACTACCCCCCAATACGGGGAAGTGGTGAGACTGACTACCAGTTGCCTGTATAGTAATGTGAGAGGGCTAAGAGGCAAAATAGCTGAACTTAGACACCTACAATCACAACTAAACTCCAAAATCATAATACTGACGGAAACCTGGCTAACCCCTACGGTGGCAGACAGCGAAGTCAGTATAAATGATATGGTCCTAGTCAGGCGAGATAGGGACCTGAAAGAAGGAGGTGGAGTCGCCATATACGTCGACAAACAGCTCAGATGTGTTCACGCGACGGACCCTCCCCTCACAGAGCTCCCTGACTCCATATGGTGCCACTTCACCGTTGGGTACTGCAAATATCTAGTGGGCAGCATTTATCGATCACCTTCATGTGGAGCAGACCACAACCAGGTACTGCTAAATACAATCTCAGCAACTCAAGACATGGGTTATGATCAAATTGTCATAGCTGGTGACTTCAATGCCCCATCTCTTAACTTGGTGTCGGGAAAAGCCCATGATAGATTTGATCGAAATCTGCTGCATACCATCAGGAAGGCTGGATTCACTGAAAATGTCAAGATGGATACTAGATGGGGCCCTGATGGGAAGTCTTCTAGACTGGATTACGTGCTCACTAGTGACCAGCTACTAGTGGAAAACGTTCAGATCACGACTCCCATAGGTAGTAGTGACCACGCGGTCATAGTATTCGACATAGTCCTCCGCGAGCGCTTACAGTGGGACAATACACAGCCCTATCTGTGTTATAACAAAGCCAACTACACCAAAATGCGAAGACTTCTGTCTGAAGCAAATTGGCCTAAAAAATGGACAGAGCTAACAGTAGAAGAACACTGGAGAGTGGTAAAGGAGATCATTCACCAGGCGGTCTCAGACACTGTTCCTTTAGTCTCACCAAAAGCTAGGAAGCAACGATCATGGCTGAAAAGGGGGACACAACGCCTTCTGCAGGCAAAGCGAAAAGCCTGGTTCGCGTGGCGACGATCGAAGAGTCAACCCGAATATGAAGTGTACCTTGAACTCAGGAATCGATGTAACATACGAGTCCGGAGCGATAGAAGGACATTTCAGGGAGACCTCGCCAATAAGCTTCTCGTGAACCCCAAAAGCCTATACAGGTTTATGGCCGAAAGAAAACCGACCAACCAGGGAGCATGCAATCTAGTGGGTTCTGATGGGAAATCTCTTACTAGTCTTGAAATGGCAGAGACATTCAGCCTAGCCTTTCACAGGCAACTAAATAGTAACGAGGATATTACCCCTACAGAACATCCAGATTACATCGCAAAACCAACACACGAAAACCTGCTGGGGACATTTCAAATTACCCCGGCTATGGTACTTGCAAAATTGGGAAGGTTGGCTTCGGGAAAGTCTCCAGGTTGTGATGGCATCAGACCATCTGTCCTGAAGCAGTGTTCAGAAAGTCTCTGTCAACCCCTAAGTGATCTGTTCCAACACTCCCTTGATGTAGGGAAACTTCCATGTGAATGGAAACGTGCAATCCTATCCCCTATCTTCAAGGGTGGTGACCGGCAGAATGTGACCAGTTACAGACCAGTTGCTCTACTTCCAGTGGTATCGAAGATATTGGAAAGTCTCATTGACGACCACATGAGAAAATACTTCGATGGGACTAACCTTCTTCACGAAGCACAGCACGGTTTCAGGAGGGGAAGATCCTGCGTGACGAATCTTCTACTAGCCTGGAACGATTGGACACTATCCTGGGACAAAAAGGTACCAGCCCACGTGATCTTTCTCGACTTTGCGAAAGCATTCGACACAGTTCACCATGGTCTGCTCCTTCACAAAATAGGCAAGGCGGGAGTTTCTGGAGCACTTCTCGCATGGCTGAAAGATTACTTAGGCGAGAGAGAATTCTGCACCAAAGTCAACCGCATCCGATCATCCTGGCACACCTCGGCATCAGGGGTTCCTCAGGGTTCTATCCTAGGGCCGTTGATGTTTTTGATTTTTATCAATGACCTGCCCCCCAACTAAACTGCTCTGCGCTTCTTTACGCTGACGACGTAAAGATTTGGAGAGCAATAAACTCATCGGAAGACTCAGATAGATTGCAGGCTGACCTGCAAACTCTGGGAAATTGGGCTTTGGCTAACGGAATGCCTTTCAATCTAAAGAAGTGCAAAGTAGTGCAGCTTCATTCCGGCAGGTCACAGAGTGTAAATTACACCCTTGGTGGCCAGAACTTGAGTTGTGTTCCATCAGAGCGTGATCTAGGTCTTATTCTAACAGAAAAGCTAGACACCAGTGGAAATTACTCGAGGGACGTCGCCAAAGCCTACGCAACATTACACTTTATGCACAGGCAGCTGGGAGCTCTCACTCCCGAACTGTTCTTAAGGCTATACAAGGCATATGTGAGGCCACACCTTGAGGTGCATAATATCATTGCACCTCCGCTACTCAAAAGGGATGCTAACATTCTAGAAAGTGTCCAGAGACGAGCGACAAAATGGGTGATCGGCCTCCGCAACAAATCATATGAGGAAAGACTAAAGAAATTAGGTCTTTTCACACTTAGTTACCGTAGGCACAGGGGAGACCTCATCACCGTCTACAAGATCCTAAATGACCAGGCCCACCCAAATAAAAGCATCCTGCCATTAAGCGATTATAGGCTTCCACGAGGTAACCCGCTAAGGATAGCACACCAGAGACCAAAGACTCGAGTGCGATCACATTTCTTTTCGCTTCGTGTTTGCCGTCTCTGGAACGCTTTACCGGCGGCCGTGACTACAGCGCCATCTCTGGAGATTTTTAAGCGGAAGCTAGACAATCATGCAGAAATGCAAGGTTTGTGTCTCAATGGCTTATCCTCATAAAATTTGAAACCACACTGTCAATGGATAAGCGTACAAACTAAATCCCCACGACCTATTCTGCCTTCTCTCACTCTTTCTTTTCCTTAGGTCACCTTTATTATTCCACTTATCTCAACCTATATTATCTACACTACAACCTATTATTATTATTATTATTATTACTATTCTGCTTTTATGACTACACCGAATGACCAACGGGAGTTAGGTCAAACTCCATTCACGGCAGCAATACAGTCCTAACATACTGCATACTACAAACCACATCTCGACCAATCCCCGCACCACTCCTCCTGGAGTCTACCAGAGCTAAAGCAGTCGAGTGTCGGGACTTACTACGCAGAAGCTCACCGAAGATCTGGAACCTCTACCTCACAATCAAGAAGCGAGCTCAAAGAAATCACTGGTTTATACTAGCTCGTAATCAGGATATTGGATATTGGATATTGGATCTGTGATCACTTTACTGCGCGCCATGTTCGGTGTGGGCGTTACGTTCCCATTTAAAGGATAATTTATGGAGTTAATAACCTATCTGGATTTTGTACATAATAACCTTCTGCTCACGCAGCAGCCAATCATACTTCGGTTATGTTACGTCCGGAAATTATAATTTTTACTCTATTTGCACTTTCAACTAATGCACAAGAAGATAGTGACATAGGTACGTTAAAGAAGCTTTAATATATTTCTAAGATGAAGTCTTCAGCATATCTGAAGTTCCTATTTCATTATTTCAGATTCGGGTTTTTTTTGGTGCAGTAGTTCAAAAGATGTAGGTGGTTCAGTGATGAATGCATTAGCTTTTGTGGTTCGAATTTATCGAACAGACAGACGTGTATAATACATGTGGGAAATAATATTACTGTGTAACGATCCCGTTATCTATACTTTACGTCTAGCAAGTTATTGTTTGCGCCTAATGAAGCCTCGTACCAGATGTTTGCATAATTCTCACCTAAATGCATCCGCTTGCTAAAATTCCTAATCTTATCTAATAACATATAGTCTTAGTGATAACTAGTACCTCTTCAATGCCATAAGTACGAATAATAATTTACTGGTGGGGTTTTGTATTCTACTTTCTGCAGAATCTTGAGTTAAGACCCATAACATCAGATTAGAGGATAGTATTAGCGGTGTTAATTTTCAAAACATATGAAAACGAGGGACTTCATTTCCATTGTTAGAAGTAATTGAAACATGTTTCAAGTAGGCGGGCTCATACTATTTCTTGATGATCAAAATAGGATTGCATTAGGAAAGATAACGCTGATCCATGAAGTCACTGTTTAAAAAAACTTTGAGCATTAGGTGTATGATATTCATTACCATAAAAGTTTTTGAATTTCTCAATTTTCTTACTGATATTCCGCTGTTTAATGCTAACAGAACAATCTGCTCGACGTCTGAGAAATACGGTTAAACTAGAAGAGCTTGAAAAGACACCAACAATAAGTTGAGACGCCATAGAATCAGGTTACAAAACTGATTTTAACGCTTACAATAACCCAGGAAAATTTCAAAATCCACAAAGAACGTCTAATATCAATAGCATTTCGTATTAAGTTGGATCCAAATGTCCTGATTAGGCATGATGAACTAAGACAAAACTTCACCTAGTTCCAACATCTAACAAATGAAGTGGCAAGATGGACACATATGATAAGCAATTACGTTATGTAAATGTGTACACTTATCAAATTCAACAATCTACACCTGGTTTTGTTATCTTTACTAGTTGTCCAGCTTGACAACAACTTTGAAATTACCTCATGGGGAAGAACGATGATTAGGTTGTTATATATAAACTGAGATTTTGCAAATTCTGGTTTACTATTATTACTTTGATGAAACTATTAGCAGAAATTAAATATCGAGACGTCAGTAAAAACAGCAATATCGTTTTGTTTTTCATTCATTCATTGAGAAGTCATTGTCTTAATCCGATCCAATTTCTGAAATATCAGTTATGTACCCGAGGTTCTTAAAATGTTCGTTAGAGTTGATTATTTTATGTAGTCAAATATCATTCATGACATAGAAAATGCATTCACCTTTTTGTTGTAGTAATTTTTACCATTCCACTGCTCATCATTCAGTTCTTCCATTTTCTTAGTGAATGTTTTTCTATTGTAGCATCAATTTATTACAGTCCTTTTTCTTGTTCAGTTTTGAAGTGAACTAGTGCATTTTCTGCGAAGTTATTGAGGTCATTATTTCTGTCGCTGACAATGTATTTTACTAGTATCTCTTTCTTAGTGAAATGACTGAAAAACGTATTCAAACTAGGTTTATGCAATTTGTGTTTCTCGCAATAAATTTTGTAAATTTGTAGTAAATAATTAATCAATGTTTAGGGAGCTTGTATTTGCTTATGCAAAAAGTAGTTGTATCAAAGTTATTTTACTGTTAGACTCTTATATTATAGAAAATCAAAACAAGTGGGGATTCAGCGAAGAGATTCTTTTTAACAACGAATTTATCATCAAGCTGTACAGTCGTATATATATGGGTTTTTAGGAAGTTATATCCGGTGAGGGAATTGAATCATAGGTGTGAATGCATAAAATAATAATAATAGTATGAAATACAATTAAAACTAAAATGTTTGTGATCATAATCATAGTTAAATGTCAAGAGGCAAAGCAAATTAATGTCATATATAGAATAATTCATAGGAGGGATAGAACTTGAAAAAGGGTGTGCAATTATAGAATTAGTAGACAAATTCAACAAAATAAAAACGTTACGTAATATTGTGTGAAATTTGATAGGATATAGAATTTAACGTTGTAAAAAAGAATTGATTTGGAATGACAAATGGAACAAGTGAAATAATACCGGAGACAGTTCAAAGTGAGAATAGCAATAGTAACAATTGACGTAATAAGGAAGAGTACACAAATTGAATAGGCAAAATGAAAAAAAATTATAAAAAATTGGTAGAGCCAAAATATGATTGGTGATTACCATACTTAAGCATAGAAGGATTGAGACCATGAAAGTTGGAGGGGTTGAACGAACTTTTTCTGTTTCGATAGCCAAAGCTTCAGCAATACAGATGAGTTGGGTACGTAGGGATTTGGGTAAATTACTCTGCTTTGTAGATAACTTTAAAGGCGGAGGCTATATAGGTAGGATGATCATTATCGACCAGATGTTCAATAATCGCGCTTCTTATTGCTCCACTTCCATCTCTCTTCGTAGCCATGCAGGATAGTGTTCTTGCGCCTTCTTGGACAAAACTCGAGTCGACCGACCGATATACCTAGCTCCACACGAGCAGATGAATTGATAAGCACACATAGAGTTGGTCAACAGCGGGATCTTGTCCTTCAGGTTATTGAACAGTAATGATCTACTAGTAAAGGCTATTCTCAGAGATGCAGCAGGGAATGTTCTTTTCAGGGACTGTGATATCCTTCTTTTCATGATATCGGAGGCTAAGTCCCTTTTGAATTCCAAGCTCATGTAAAGTATTTTTTTGGGTATGGATGATAAGTTACGTTTTATAGGATTTGAATGTATATTCTCATCTATAAAACGTGATGGAAATCCATTTTCTATTAGGATTTTCTTCAACAGCTATAACTCATCTTGCATAGTATCAGGGCTGCGTATGCACCGAATACGAGTGGCAAGCGACCGGACCAGGTTTCGTATATAACTTCCTAAAAAACCATGTATACACGATTGTACAGCTTCTTGATAAATTCGTTGAAAAGAGTCTCTTCGCTGAATCACTTGTTTTGATTTTCTTATATTATAATCATCGTAGAGATAAAAATAGATTAAGACGTTTCATTTCCACCGAATAAAATTAAAATTCTCTTTTAAAGCAATTAGTTCCCTTTATGAATTTCGACAACACAATAAAAAGACGTAGTTTATCTGGAACATTTCAGATAAACCACGTCTTCTTATTACGTTGTCAAAATTCTCCTTGTTGCTGTCTATTTGTGTGTATATTGATACAAAGATTTCTACTTTATGCGTGTTTTTCTAAATCTTTTTCTTCCTTTAAGTTCTTGATGGTATACAGAGCTTCAAGCTGTAAGGCTTTATTAGAGGTGGTGTATTGTCCAACTTTCATTTCTCCAGGCTTATTGTCAGGCAGTAAATTAGGCGAGTTTTAGGGGGTGCGTCCTCTGTGAACTTTCATGACTGGCACACACACTACTCCTGTGACACTGGCTCGAAATAGGTGTCTGCATTCTGTTTCCCGTGTTAGTTGGTGGTATAATAAGGTGAGCAATATTGAGGTTAGGCATCGGTCGAGTTCTAGGTAAAGAGGGGAAATCAGTCGACGAGGCTGTGAAGTTACACCGATTCAGATGGTTCTGTCTGTCTGGATTCAACATAAAACTTGGCACCGAAGTGCAGCACTTCCAGTTGCCACCTTCCAAATGCACACAAAGGTAGATAAGAAGATGAGTGAAGAGAATCAATAGAGTTTCACAAGTATAAAAGTGAAACAGAATGGGTAATGGTAGGAAGGAATATGAAAGATTACAGAGACTGAGTACATCTGCGCTGTCATTGACAACGATTTTGAGCCATGTCACCTATTGTCTCCAGCCATTGATTCTTAGAGTCAATCCCGAGGGCCCCAACCCGGAAGTCTGCATCTCCCTACCTGACTCAGTTTAACTGTCATGGATTTCATGGATTGATGACATGTTTTTGTTTGGCCACCACTTACTCTTTTCCAACCTGCACCTATATCAGCTAGCTAGCAATGCCCGTCGGGGGAGGCGATGGTTAAGCATGCGCACCACGTGACTTAGCCATCTCAATCTATGTAACTTTATAGCCTCGTCGATTGATTTTCCCTCTTTGCCCAACACTCTACGCCTCATGTCAACATTACTTACCTTATTAAACCACTTAACGTGAGAAAGAGATCGCAGACATCTATGATCGAAAGCAGTCATTCAGAACATAAGATAAACTGCGAGTAAAAACAAATAGGTGACATACTCATGTATTTGCAGCCAACAACTTCATTGTAGGGTTGAGGGGGTGGGGACGGTGAGTTGTATTCAGTGGCGTGTAAGGAAATTGATTACCACAAAAAACTTACAAACAAATACCAAAAAACGGGGAACACTGAATGTAAGTTCAAGGACAAGTGTTGACAGGCATCAAGTTCAGTGGTAATATAAAAAGGTTAAATTGGGAACTGTAATAAAATACTAGAGACATAACAAGAATAATGTAAATTACAAAAGGTTAACACATAATAAAGAAGTAATAATGGAGTAAAGGGAATTAGGTGAAAAGGAATAGTAAAGGCATAATATGAAATGAAAATATGGATGATTGTCTCTGCTGACCACCTTATAGTAGACCAGAGTAAACTAAGAGGATGAATGTGCTTTTTGTTTGCACACATAGGTCAGATTTTTTCTTATAAATCTTTGTAGATTCCTCTATAGCTAAGAGAGGTAATCATGTGCCTTCAAACATCTTGTTCGGTACTCGATTTACAATCTTAAATGACTCATCTATTTTGATATGGTGTTCACTATCTATTAGACGAGACAAAATGGAACTATTTAATTATTAGGCTACACTTTTTCCAAACCAAACAGGGACATGTTCATGAATGCTTACAGATAAATTTCCCTGAATTCGACCTATATATATAACTAATTCCCC